GTTGCAAGAATGTGTGATTACATCAGATGATGCAGTCGATGAAGAAGGTGAGTTAGTACACTATGCTTTTTACGCATATGTCAAACTAGTCAATGCAGCTGAGGCATTAAAAGATTCGAAGCAGGTGAAAGAAATGAATGAAGAGTTAGAGTCCATCAAAGTCAACAACACTTGGCCACTTGTCGAATTGCCTCAAGGAAATAAGGAAATTGATGTAAAATGTGTTTACAAGGTGAAGGTGAAGCAATATGTAAGGAGAAGCAATAGTGAATTGCCTCATGAAGTATATGTAAGGAGAAGCAATAGCGAATTGTTTATATTATGTCTTTATGTTGATGACCCGTTGTTAATAGGAAGCTGCAAGAAGACGATCAAAGATTTCAAACATGACCTAAGTGAGGAGTTTGAAATGTCAGACTTGGGAAATCTCTCATATTTCCTAGGCATCAAATTCTACAAACGTGGTATAGGTTTGATGATACACCAATGAAGATATGCAGGCAAAATAATCAAGAGGTTTGCGATGCAATATTGCAATCTAACTTTGACTCCAGCTGAGACCAGATTGCAACTGTCGAAAGATTCAGATGAAGATGATGTCGACCCAACCCAATATAGAATACTTTTTGGGTCACTTCGATACCTTTGTCACACAAGGCCTGACTTAGCATACAGTGTGGGTATGGTAAGTAGATTGATGCAAAAGCCAAAGGTATCACACCTAGCAGCGATGAAGAGGATACTGAGGTATCTGAAAGGAACTCTCGACTACAAATTTTTTGTTTCCTACAGCTGATGAAGGAAAAAATGAAAGATAGTGAGATGCAGTGATTCAAGTTCGTGTAGTGATGATGCAGATAGAAAACCCACAGCTGGTTATGTGTTTATGCTAGGTGGTACACCAGTTGCTTGGAGTTTGAGAAAGGACCAGTAGTGGCATTGTCATCATGCGAAGCAGAATACAAAATTGCTTCTCTTTGTGCATGTCAAGCAACGTGGATGTTGAACCTGGTTAAAGAGATTACTGCGAAGAGTCATAGAGCAATTACCATGAAGACCTACAACATGTCAGCTATCAACCTGGGGAAGAATCCAATAGCACATGATCAAAGCAAGCACATCGAAATGAGGTTCCATTATCTTCGAGAGCAGGTAGCAGAAGGGAAGATAACTTTGGAACACTGCAGAACTGATAATTAGATTTCAAATATCATGACGAAAGGAGTGCAAGTCGAAGTGTTCAAAAAGCTAAGCTCTATGATGAATGTAGATAGCTTAGATAAAATAAATTAGATGGTGTATTGATTTTATAATTTCTTGTGTCAAAGCAGCGTAGCTCGACAAAAACAAGGTCTAGTCGAATTATCGAATGTGTTTGTGTCGAGTTTTATTAGTGTGTCGAAGTGTCGAAGCAGGTTGCTTCACACAGGATTTCGACTTAGACCTATTTTAGTAATGCTAGCTATTTTGGGCTTTTATAGTTTTGGACTTTAACTTAGGGTACAAGCTAACTTAAATCTATAAATAGGGAGTAACCATTATTTTATAAACACAATTCATACATTGTATTCACAGTTTGCAGTTGCAAGTGGATAAAAGAAAGTTTTCATAGTTTGTGGACAGAGAGAAACTCTGCAGAATATTCATCTTCTTCTCCAACGTTATTTTTATTTCTTTTTGTCTCTCAATTTTTTCATTGTCATTGCGTGATTGATAACAATCTTGTTCATCAAGATTAAAGTGAAATTATCCATAGGTTGTGGTTGAATTCCAACAGAAATAAGTCGAGTTGAGTCGAACTTGCATCAACTAAGCTCGACTCGTTAAGAATTGGTTCAACTCAAATCCCAGTTCGAGTTTGATACGAACTTTTTTTTAAGCTCAAACTCGACTCGTTATAAGTTCACGAAAAACTCGATTCGACTGGTTAAGTTCATCTCGCTTGCTTCACGGATTTTTAAGTCATTTTTTTAAAGTCCATTTTTTTAAGTATTTTACATTTTAAATTAATATTAGGCTAAAAAGAAAGTATTGAAATAAAATAAAAGTTATTAGATTGGAATTTAACTTTGTCTAAAAAAAATACTAATTCAAAAGTTAATTAATTTATATGATGATAATTTTATTTGTATAATTATTTTTAGAAATATTTTGCTCACTTGAGAATATAAACTATCAATTAACACTGTTAGATTAAAATAAAATATAAGGCTAAAATTTATATTAAATTTTTAAACCTATTCCTAAAAATAATATAATCCTTCTCGTATATAATCGAGTTGGCTCATAAACCTAACGAGTTGAACTATGTATAATTCAAGTTCAACTCATTTAGTTTACGAACATAATCAACATGCATTATTGTAACGTGGATAATAGTGTGTTTATCAAAGTATTTTTATGATATGCTTGTAATAAAAATGATAATTGTTAAATAAATACAAAGTAGTTAATTGTGTACTATGGTAAATGAAAAGATAAGGAAAAAAGCAATTGAACAACCAATATATTTAATGGCTAAAAAAAACCTTCTATTTTGTACAGAATAATGGATCCGTCCATTTTAAATTTAAAAAAAATGTTTTTTTCTTCATATTTAAAAAATAATTTTTATGAGAATTTTTAAAAAAATAGTATAAGTTGTTTAAAACTCATTTTTCATAAATTAAAAGAGTAATTTTGACACCTTCTGATATAAAATTCATTATTAATAATTTATCGTAATTAACATCACATAATTTTTTTTAATATTTCTCAAAAATAACTTTTAGGAATATCATTTCAAAATAGATTCAAATGTAGTGATTTTTATAATTTTTTATATAAAAAAAAGGATGAAATACCTAAGTGCGGTGTCTAAAGAAGTTAATAAGATTTTAAGTGACTTCTTGTGGGGAAGTGTGGAAGAGAGGAGGAAAATTCATTGGGTGAGTTGGAAGAAGGTGTGTCTCCCTATTGACAAAGGGGGCCTTGGTATGAAATACTTGCCGGATTTCAATGTGGCTCTTCTTAACAAGTGGAGGTGGAGAATTCTAAAAGGCGGAGATGAAGTGTGGCTTCGTTTATTGAAGGCTCGCTATGGTGACATTTCATCCGTCATGTTAAGCAAAGGTACGCATTCTCTTATCTCTAACTCTTCTCCTCCTCATTCTACTACTTCATCCCCTTCTTCCTCTTATTGGTGGAAAGACCTTATTTCCATCGGTAAATTTGGCCATTTGGATCCGATGGTGCGTTTGTGCAATTTCAAGATCGGAAGAGGTTTCACCACCCCTTTTTGGGAAGTGAATTGGACGGGTAATTTTTGCTTGATGGACGAGTTTCCGAACTTGTATAAAGAAACTAGATTGAGATTGGTTTCGGTAGCGGGGATGGGAGGATGGGTTGATCATGTTTGGAGGTGGGGTGATTTGGGATTGGCCCCGGCGGAGGTCTCGGGAGGCAGTGGGCCGAACGGGCAGGAAGTAGGGTCACTTCGTGAGTTGATTCAACCGTTTGAGCCGGAGAGTAGTGGTTCGGACACGGTTTCTTGGGTTGGAGAACCGGACGGTATTTTCTCGGTCGCTTCGTGTTATAAATTTTATGAGTTTTTTCGGATCCCTATGGGTCCTCCGAATATTCATGATGACGCTTTTCGATTGATTTGGAAATATGAGGTCCCGTTCAAAATCAAAGCTTTTGCTTGGAGGTTATTTAATAATAGACTACCAACAAAAGATTTGCTAGCGGCTAGAGGGGTCGTTTTTTCCGGCGAGAATTCTCTTTGTGTGTTTTGTGGGATTCACCCGGAAGATTGTGTTCATTCTTTTTTTAAGTGTAATGTTTTGAAGGTGGTTTGGCGGAGTATAGCTAATTGGATTGGAAAAAGTTGGATAGAGGAGGATGATTGTTTTTGTAGTTATAAGGATTGGTTCATATATTGTAAAGATAACAATTTCAAGAAAGGTAAATTAGGTGTAGTGTGGTTAGCATTGACTTGGTGCATTTGGCTCACGAGGAATGGGTTTTGTTTCCGGAATGAAGCTTGGAATGTGGATAGTTTGATTTGGAACGTGAAAATCTTGGTTTGGAAATGGAGGCCTATTGGTGAAATTACTTACCCCAATTGTTGTTTTTATGACTTTAGCAAAGAGCCCTTATTCTTTCTAAAGTAGGTCTTCAATTTGGTTTGTATTTTCTTGATTTTAGGGTCTTGTCCCTTTCCTATTTTTGTAAGTGGTGTTTAGAGAACGCTTAGTTCTCTTTAATATAATTTATTGCTTGCTTACAAAAAAAAAAAATTATATTCAAACGGATTTTTCATTATAAGTTTTTTATAAAAATAATATTTTTAATATTTCTAACAAAATATATAATACTAAAAGGTTATTTCACAAAAACCAAAACAAATGGTCCTACAAAGTTCGTGTGAAAAATTTAAGTATCAATTCTACCTGGAAATAGAAATATATAATCCTTTGTAAGTTGCATGCAATTTCGAGTGGTTAAAGGATTTATATCTTTGGTTATTAATTTAAACAAATAAAGTTTAAAATTTAAGAGATGTTCAGCTAATTTATATTAATTGATTTTAAAAACTTAATGACGAATTATTTTTGTAATAAAATGGGATTCAACTAAATTTTCAATTACTTGTTCCGTTATACTATAAATAGATTAACAGAGTGTCATTTAAGAATTATCATATCATTAAGTTTGATAATTCAAAACAAGAATTATCTCTTATCCCAAATTCTTATAATAGTGTATAGAAACCAAATATAACGAAATAATGCTCATAATTTAACAAATTCCAAGGATGCCAACTTTTAAAATTACTTTATTGATATGTATTGTTGAAAAAATTGTATAATTGTTACAACTTCATGTTATCTTATTAGAAATTATTGACACTATAAAATAATCATAGATTTAACATCTATTATATAGAGGAAGAAATTGAGTACCAGTCTTTCTCATAGATATACATAAATTTTAAGATACACAAATTCATTCAAACGATGGCGGGTGGAGTTTTAGTTGTTTCAAAACAAGGGAGGCAATATGAGGGGAAGGTTACAGTGTTTGTTTTGGTCACATGTTTGGTGGCGGCTATGGGTGGTCTACTTTTTGGTTATGATCTTGGTATTACAGGAGGAGTGACTTCCATGGAACCATTCTTAGTTAAATTCTTCCCAGGTGTTTACAAACAAATGAAAGATGAATCTGAACACGAGAGCCAATATTGCAAATTTGATAATGAGCTTCTTACTTTGTTCACATCTTCCTTGTATATTGCAGCTAGGGCTGGCAATGAACCAAACCAACTCGAAGATAGTTCGGAATTCGACTCGACAATTAAATCGTTGAACTAGGTTCATGAACCAAATGAGTTGAGTATGAGCGAAAAATTAAGTTCGTTAACTAAATGAGCTGAACTTGAACTATACATAGTTCGACTCGTTAGGTTCATGAGTTAACTCGATTACATATGAAAAGAATTATACTGTCTTTAAGATTAGGTTTAAATATTTACTTCAAATCTTAGACAAATTTAATCTTCAATTTAGTAGTTTTTGAATTAGACTCTCAAATGTATCTCTTGAAAGTTGTGTAGGTTTTGAATTAGTAGATTTCGAAGTTAAAGTTAAATTTCAATATGATAAATTTTATTTTATTTTAATATTTTATTTAAAATATATATATTTATTTAAAATGTCAAATATACTAAAAAATATATATATTTAAAAAAATAGTTTTTAAGTTCGTGAACCATGTGAGCTGAACCTAATGAGATGAACCTAACGAGTCGAACCGAACTGTTCGTGAACTTATAACGAGTCGAGTTTGAGCTTAAAAAAAAGTTCGTGTCTAACTCGAACTCGAACTCGAATTCGAACAATTCTTAACGAGTCGAGCCGAGCTGAGGTGAGTTCGACTCGACTCGACTCATTTCCAGCCTTAATTGCAGCTTTAATAGCTTCTTTCTTTGCTTCAACTACTACAAGAATGTTAGGACGCAAGGCCTCAATGTTTGCAGGTGGCTTGTTTTTCCTGGTGGGTGCATTGCTCAATGGTTTTGCTATCAACATTGAAATGCTTATCATCGGTCGCTTATTACTTGGTTTTGGTGTAGGATATTGTAATCAGGTAAAAACCGATAACGTTTTATGATTTTATGTTTTTATGTTTTTATGTATAAAGGATAAAGAATATTTTAAGTTTAATTGCATTCATTTTTTGTTACTCATAAACAGTCAGTTCCAGTGTATTTGTCTGAAATGGCTCCAGCAAAGATTAGAGGTGCGCTCAACATGGGCTTCCAAATGATGATTACTATTGGAATCCTAGTGGCAAACATTATTAATTACTTTACTTCCAATCTCGAGAGGGGATGGAGAATTTCTTTGGGTGTTGGAGCAGTCCCTGCAATTTTGTTGTGTATAGGATCCTTTTTTTTAGGCGACACACCAAACTCTATGATTGAAAGGGGCCAAAAAGAAAGAGCTAAGAAAATGTTGCAAAAGATTCGTGGTATTGATAATGTCGATGAGGAGTTCCAAGATCTAATTGATGCTAGCGAGGAAGCAAAAAAGGTGCAACACCCGTGGAAGAATCTTACACAATTGAGATACAGACCTCAACTAACATTTTGCTCTCTCATTCCATTCTTCCAACAACTCACAGGAATCAATGTTATCATGTTTTATGCCCCCGTCCTTTTCAAAACTTTGGGCTTCGGAAACGATGCTTCCCTCATGTCCTCAGTAATTACCGGAGGTGTCAACGTACTCGCTACTTTTGTTTCTATTTTCACTGTTGACAAGTTTGGAAGAAAGATTTTGTTTATTGAAGGCGGTGTCCAAATGTTTCTTTGTCAGGTGACACTTGCAACTTAACTAATATTTAACTCTTTATATTTACCGTTCAAATTAATTCATTTTCCAATCATAGTTAATATAAAAGTTATGATTATTCATTGTAGATTATTGTTGGAAGCATGATTGCTGTCAAGTTTGGAGTTAGCGGTGAAGGATCCTTTACACACATTGAAGCCAACCTTCTTTTGTTCTTTATATGTTTGTATGTTGCAGCATATGCATGGTCTTGGGGTCCATTGGGATGGTTAGTTCCTAGTGAAATATGCTCTCTTGAGGTTCGCTCTGCAGGTCAAGCTACCAATGTTGCTGTGAACATGTTATTCACCTTCGCCATTGCTCAAGTTTTTCTTACTATGCTTTGTCACTTGAAGTTTGGACTTTTCTTCTTCTTTGCCGGCTTTGTGCTTATAATGACAATTTTCATTGTCATGTTTTTTCCCGAGACAAATAATGTCCCGATTGAAGAAATGAATAAAGTGTGGAAGTCTCATTGGTTTTGGTCAAAGTTTGTTCCAGATGTTGTCGTTGATCATGACCGTAAAGCCGTTGTTTGATATTAAAAATTGATGAGGATCTAGACTAATATATGTATGACATAATAATTTCAGTTAATTATATTTGATGCTTTTATATTCATCTTGTATTTAAGACTTTTTTTAAAAAGTATTTGTATTATTTTATGAATGGTTGTTAATATGCTCTAACATAATATGCATATAATTTTTTATAAAGTTGATTCTCCTTAATTTAATATCTTAAATATAAATTTTTATCCGATAACAAAATATTTCTATAAAATTAATTAAATAATTTTTGTGGCTTCGTAACTAAGATGATATAATACATGTATTTTATCTAATGGAAATTCCTAATTTAATTATTTATTAAGACATAACACCCTCTTGTATACTTCTATTTATGATTGTATTTAACTAAGTCAAGCTAGAGTAAATGAGAATTAGACAATCCGTTTAGGTGCTTGAAATTAAATGGTCTTGGGACACTTGAAAATATGTGATCTTATCAGAGACAAATCTTGATAGACACCTCATACTAGAGGCTTGACTTGACTCATTGATAGTATTATTGTTGATATAATTGTACACTTTATACTAGGGTCATTATTCATCTTTCTTAATTATTTAGATTTTCTAACTTAGAAATTCATCGTAGCAAGGAACTTTTTCTCATGTGCTTTGTTATCATAAAAATAAATTAAAGGTCATTGGTATTCAAAACCAACTTAGTTTTTACTATCTCTCTCTTTATATGTCATAAATTGATGAATATTTTTCCAAAATAGAATGAAGAAGCTATCTTTGAATTTAATTCAACCAGGATCTAAATGAAATTGAGAATGCAAATATCTGAGAAATGCTAAAAAAAAATAGTTAGCATTTTACACAAGTTTAATAGATTGCATCAGAAATATTTCTCATTCCTTGTAATTATACAAAAAGACACATTAAGAAATATAAATAAAATGGTTACATAGTGATAGATCAACATTGTGATAGTGAAAAATGAAGAAAAAAACATTAAAAAAAAAAGAAGAAATAAAGCAAGCATAGTTTGGCTAAGATCAAGTGTTAAGGTTGGATATTTTTGATCCCATTAATTTCGTAGAAGATTATATTCTAATACTATCACAAACTTTATAGTTATATCTTTTATTGGATAGTTCACATATTCACGTCATGATTTTAATCCATGTACTTTTCTTTTTAATTTACAGTTTGATTCATTCGTTGTATAATATTAATATTGTGTATGCATCTTATTCCCCTTCATCCTAACTTTAGTTCAATGCTTTGTATGATAACATTAAGTTAGCTCCCTCCTAACCTCAAATATAGGACCATTTGATATGGAAACATCTAGGACCAAGTCTCCCTTAGACTTTCCGTTTTTCTCTTCTCTTTCTTAATACAAGTAAAATACTTAACAACTACAATGTGTATTGTGCGTCACGAGCCTTAAGCACATGAGAAAAGATGACAGATTCATTTTTAACATCATCTTATGATACTTTGTGCCCGAGACGTTTGGATCGTTAGCGCAAAGTATTTGATCCTATGTCATAGACTTTAGAGCGATACACGTTACAACCAAAGTTAATCCACTTCTCTAAAATCCTTGAACAAATCAAAATCATTTTGTCCCTCGGGATGTTTCATCAAACCTTATTAGAAAGGGCATGTTACATTCGTTCTACCGCAAACAGGCATCGATCCAAATTGATGGAATGTGAGCTTAACATCGCTCATAAAAGACACCAACCAACCCGTGGTAGGTCGAATTACGAGAGCTCTGACTTCTTCATTTTCTTCCAAATGAGGATACGTAGGCACAAGACGACAAAGTCTTGGCGACCACAATCCCCCATTCACCCGTAGTCCTCCGAACTACAATGAATCTTACTTTCCCATTGCACGAAAGAATACGTAGGCATAGAATGACGATGTCCTATCGAGTTACCCTTTTGTCCAGTTTCCGTGTTTAGAAAATAGACTTTAGATAAACATACCATTTGATTAGAACAACAAGAGTGGATCTTGTTGAGTACAACGGACGCGAGGGGGTGATAATATCTTCCTCTCGCATAATCGACTCTCAAACCCAGGATTTAGTTGCGAGACCATATCTTCTCCCTTTTGAGGTTTCTTCAACCATTTCCTTTCCCTCGTCGGGATAAATAACGTTCGATGGCGACTTTTTTTCCCGCCGGATGTTTTTTTGCGTTGCGACATTATTCAACTAGTCTAATTAAGTAAAAGTAAAGTCTTAGACATGTGCTCTAAGCAAAGGTAAGTCTCATCTAGAAGACAGATGAGCAAGTGGCTCAGTCTGATGGTGTGAGCAAATTAAAGTCTTAGGCATGTGCTCAAAGTAAAGGAAAGTCTCAGCCATAAGACATATGTGCAAGTGGCTCAGTCAAATGGTATGAGCATCGGTAATTCTTAGACATGTGCTCTAAGCAAAGGGAAGTCTCAACCAGAAAGGCAAATGAGCAGGCAACTCCATCTAATGGTGTGAGCAAGGTTAAAGTCTTAGACATACGCTCTAAGCAAAGGGAAGTCTCAACCAGAAGGCAAATGAGCAGGCAGCTCTGTCTGATGGTGTGAGCAAGGGTAAATTGTTAGACATGTGCTCTAAACAAGGGTAGCCTCAGATAGTTGGTTTGAGCAGTTGTAAAAGTCTTATACAGAAGCATAAATGATTGTAATCATGAAGTTGTTATAATGAAAAGCTCTTGTGAGACAAGGGGACTGGACTACTCTCAGTTAGGGGAGGAACCAATATAAATCTTTTGTGTCTTCTGCGGTTATTTTATTTACTTCTGCTGTATCTACTGCCAACTGAATTAACTCAGAATCTGAACATGAATTCTGATTCTGAGACTCTGATCAGAAGCCAAATAATAAGAAAAATGAAAAATGCAACTCAACCCCGCCTTCTTGTGTACTTTTCAAACCTTCAATTGGTATTATAGCCTTGTTTGTGCTTAACAGTTAACAGCGGTGCAAATATTGATCCAATAAGAAAAGTATATTTCTTCTTCAAGAAGGAATCAAGTGCCACATGAAAAATATCATACCGCTTTTCCTACCATATTCAAATGGGTGATTCCATTGAATTTAAATTATTGAATAGATAAACATATTTTTAACTCATTGGACTTTATAAAGGGTTTTTGAGGGTCTATAGAATATTCTTGAAAAATGTATTACTATAGATGTTGATGGTGTTATAGATGATCTTCTTAAAAATCTCTTTCACCAACTTAGAAGATGCATATTGAATATCTTCAGAGATATCTGTATTCTGGTAGATGCATCATCTCACTTTTGAGTCTATCAATATCATTGATATGTATGATGCTTAGACTATCTTTGAAGTCCTGTGCTTGAGTTTGTTGGGATCAGTTTGTGAAGCTTGAAGTAGTTACACTTTATCTAATCGTTTCAAGAAAATTTTGATAGGACTATTTCTTGACTTAAATCTAAAGTCACAGTTTTTTTTGGTGTTTACATCCTGAATCCGCTATGGTCTGAAGATTTATCTTGCAGTCTTTAAAGAAAAGAAATGAAGTTGGATGACGAAAAACTATTCAACAGATCATCTTTTCCTCTTTAGCTTAAGTTCTTTAGAATGACTAATGATGAGAAACTTAGGTTTCTTGTTAGAAGGACTTTCATACTGGCTGAATAGGTTGTGATATCTTTTGATAGAACAGTAACTTCAAGAGCTTCTGAAATATATAAGGAGAAGCAATAGTGAATTGCCTCATGAAGTATATGTAAGGAGAAGCAATAGTGAATTATTTATATTATGTCTTTATGTCGATGACCCGTTGTTAACAGGAAGCTGCAAGAAGAAGATCGAAGATTTCAAACATGACCTAAGTGAGGAGTTTGAAATGTCAGACTTGGGAAATCTCTCATATTTCCTAGGCATCAAATTCTACAAACGTGGTATAGGTTTGATGATACACCAAAGAAGATATGCAGGCAAAATAATCAAGAGATTTGCGATGCAATATTGCAATCTAACTTTGACTCCAGCTGAGACCAGATTGCAACTGTCGAAAGATTCAGATGAAGATGATGTCGATCCAACCCAATATAGAATACTTTTTGGGTCACTTCGATACCTTTGTCACACAAGGCCTGACTTAGCATACAGTGTGGGTATGGTAATTAGATTGATGCAAAAGCCAAAGGTATCACACCTAGCAGCGATGAAGAGGATACTGAGGTATCTGAAAGGAACTCTCGACTACAAATTTTTTGTTTCCTACAACTGATGAAGGAAAAAATGCAAGATAGCGAGATGCAGTGATTCAAGTTCGTGTAGTGATGATGCAGATAGAAAACCCACAGTTGGTTATGTGTTTATGCTAGGTGGTACACCAATTGCTTGGAGTTCGAGAAAGGATCCAGTAGTGGCATTGTCATCATGCGAAGCAGAATACAAAATTGCTTCTCTTTGTGCATGTCAAGCAACGTGGATGTTGAACCTGGTTAAAGAGATTACTGCGAAGAGTCATAGAGAAATTACCATGAAGATCGGCAGCATATCAGCTATCAACCTGGGGAAGAATCCAATAGCACATGGTCAAAGTAAGCACATCGAAATGAGGTTCCATTATCTTCGAGAGCAGGTAGCAGAAGGGAAGATAACTTTGGAACACTGTAGAACTGAGAATTAGATTTCAGATATCATGACGAAAGGAGTGCAAGTCGAAGTGTTCAAAAAGCTAAGCTCTATGATGAATGTAGATAGCTTAGATAAAATAAACTAGATGGTGTGTTGATTTTATAATTTCTTGTGTCAAAGCAGCGTAGCTCGACAAAAACAAGGTCTAGTTGAATTATCGAATGTGTCTGTGTCGAGTTTTATTAGTGTGTCGAAGTGTCGAAACAGGTTGCTTCACACAGGATTTCGACTTAGACCTATTTTAGTAATGCTAGCTATTTTGGGCTTTTATAGTTTTGGACTTTGACTTGGGGTGCAAGCTAACTTAAATCTATAAATAGGGAGTAACCCTTAT